CTTATGAGAGCGACCTGCTGTGCACCAACATGCCCCAGGATGAGTGTGGCCGGCTGGAGGCTGGTTATCTTAGATACAGTGCTGATCAAGGGGAGGAGAAGGCTGTTTAATAATGCATGTCGAAGCAGACAGGATCAAACGCAGGGCTGAGACCAGACTTGTCTAAGACAAACCAGGCCACTGGATCGATCAACTTACACCCCAGCACTAGGGCTGTGCAAAAAATCGAATGCGATTTTCATGCGCATCTTCGATTTTTTGCCCAGCCCTACCCAGCACACACACATACAAATACAGTCACAGCTGAAGATGAGCGAGATGATGGTTGTAACCTGGCTAAAAGACTTACGTGCGTTTCCACTGGCACGGAGCGAGCGTTTTCAATTCATTCCTATGGAAGTTGAGCTTAAACGCTTGCACGGTGCATTATGGGATTGAAAGTGGCAAAAATTGCTTAATAAAATAATATAATTTAAAACACTGTATTAAATTTAATTTAGAAGAATTTAAAAATAAACAAATAACAACAACAATAAATAATGATAATAATAATAATTATACATTATACTTTGTATTGGATTAAGGACACTGTATTACTTTTAATTTAGAATCATTAAAAATTATGTAATAATCATAAATCAATAAAAATTATCCAAAATAAAAAATAATACAATGTCTTATTATTATTATTATAAAGACAATGTATTAATTTAATTAAGAATCATCTAGGAAATGTATTATTGTTGTTGTTGTTCTTCTTGTTATTTGAAATGTTACATCTTTATTTTCAAGTTTAAATTGGACATTGAATGTGGTTTTGGACCTCTGTATGCCTTATGCTTGTGTGTTTGTGTGTGCCATCTACACATCCATGGGTTTTTACTCTAATCAACACACTCACAAATGTCAAAATGAGAAGTACCCTAATAGAAGAGTACCCTACTGATCAAGGGACAATAATTTACAATAATAATAATTTAAAAATGAATAAAAAAATTTGATAATGTTGTGTAGTCATCTATAATACCTTCTATAAACACAGCCAGGTTTACTCGTTGAAACATTTATTCATGATGAAATAATTACTTTATAATTGTATTGGAGTCTTACACACATGCTATACAGTTAATTGGAGTGATGACAGCTATTATGGGAGTGGCTTGATGGAGCACAGGAGATGCAGATAACTTGATCTTGACCCTTAAGAAACTTTAATTAACGCTGTCACATAACAAATCTGCTTCAAAGATAAAATGAAATGAACTGCTAATTACAACATTGAAATAAAAATGTAAAGCCTGTACAAATACTAGAAATCATGAATATAAATAATTGGGAATAATGTCAAAAAAATTAAAATAAAATAAAAACAGTGCACATTTCATTTAGCTACTATTACATTTATGTAGTTTTGTTCGCTTGGCTGTTTCCAGAAATTTGTCAAGTTTTTCGCCAGGTGTCTTTTTTATTTATATGTCATTACGTTGCTGTCTTGCCGCCAGCCAATCGCTTCAAATCCGCAAATTCGTTTGAAGAACCAAATTAGCCAGAGATCAGTTATCACGATTACTAGATCTGGAATCTTTCAAATCATCTCAGATGTATTAAGCGAGGTACAAAGAATGGACCCCAGGAAAAAGGTAAAGCTGCCTACTGGTAAACCGTCACAAACCTAACAACACACACACGCCACATGTGAGAGGTTGCGGCTTATTTGCGTGCTGCATAGCTAGCTCTAGTGGCTGTTGACCTGCAAATATTAAAAACACACCATAATGAGGAAAAGGCCTACAGACCACATGTGACACACAAACATCAGGTTCTCAAGCTTGAAACCAAGCCACGCTGCGTTTCATCTGCATTATCAAAGCAGATCACAGAGGTTGGAGCTGAGAAGGCTGAGGGCTTGAGTCTGTGTTTTCAGAATGGTGCAGTGGCTGAGAAAAACAGAGAGACAGGTGCTAAAACAGTTCTTTATTTAGTCAGCTGACGACAGCTCTAGGGGAAGATATGCCTGCGATTAAAATTTTCATCAATCACTAGAAAAAAAAAAGAAAAAAAAAACAGGAAAAAAGGGGAAAAAAATAGATTTGCATTTCCTTAAGGAAATAGCAGTGGCTGTGAAGCAGAGAAAGAATGGTGTAAAAGTTTTAGCCAAGATTAGATTTTAAGCTTTAGTTCTGTTAATGAAAAGCTGAATCAGAGCTCAGAATCTTGTCAGCTGTGCAGGAGAATCAGCACACAGCCTGACACCATCTTTGTAGTGTAAAGGCAAGTAGAAGGTTAAATAGATGCAAAAAAAGCCACATTATTCGGTATGCAAATGGATGCAAAAGACTAATCACAATTCAGTATGCAAAATATAATGAAGTCATCACTGTCAGATTTCCAATACCAAACATTTTACAGTCAATGGGATATTTTCAGAAAGTAATCATAAATGTCTATGTAACATTAAATAATAATTATTATTAAAAACCATAACACACTTGAGGCTCAAATTAAATTAGGAAAGCAGGAAATAGTGTCAAGATGTTCAAGGTTAATTGCAAAAAAAAAATCAGAGTAGAAAAAAAAATTAACAGCAACAAGATTTCTTAGATGACTCAAAACCCTCCTTCAATGTAAGCCTATGGAATATGTATTACTGTTATTTATCAAATAAAACTAATTGTTAAATTAAATAAAACTAAAATAAAACAAATATTATATAAAATACTAAATTAAATAAAAACCTAAATTAAACTAAACTAAATAAAAATTAGAAATACGTTTTTTTTAACTAGTTGAAAGTTTAAGTTGAAGCACTAAAATTACAAACTGGCAATAAAAAAAAAGAAATATAGTATACTAAATAGTATTTTTTTAAGCACATACATTTAATAAATGACATTTAAATTAAAAGTGAAAAATAAAAAGCTAATTCAAAATATTAATAAAAGTATAATCCAAATAATTGTAATATAACACTGTTCAGGTATTTCTTTTTTGCTTACTTGATAGTCCACTAGGTAAAAACCTGAATGCTAATGAAGTCTAAATGAAGTCTGAAAATAGCATTTTTAAAGCACATAAAAATTAACAAAACCTTATTAAAACTGAAAAATAAAAAGCTAATTCAAAATATTAATAAAAATATATTACAAGTAATACTAAAATAAAACTCTCCTATCAGGATTTATTTATTTTTTTTTGCTTATTTGATAGTCCACTACCTGAATGCTAATGAAAAGCAAGAGCATACATCTGATTTGAGACAGCATTCATTTCCGAAGCACGAACAACAGAGTGAGTTACATGCCAAAGTTTAATACTCACACTAGCACCACAAAAAGAAGTAAAAATATAAATAAAAGCAATCAATACTGTTTACACAAACAGCCTTCATAAACAACTTAAGTACAGTAGCAAAACATCTCATTAGTGTCTTAGTAAACGACCTCCTTGTGGCATTTCCAAGAAAAGGAATCAATATCCAGTCTTGCAAAACCTCAAATGAAACCATCACTCCATCGGCCCACTCTAATCTTCCTGTCCGTATACACAAGACAATTGTGTGACAAATTGTGAGGTAAAAAAGATTAAATCTATTCTAGTGAAACATTTAAGTCAATGTTACGTGTTCTGGGGAGGCCGAGAGATGTGGGGATGAAAAACATGCGCACGAGTGTCTTATTGAGACAGATGTGAGTGAAAGAGCAAGGAAATTCCCAAAGGCCAGTCTGTCTGTCACTAAAAGACGAGAGAACACCTGAGTAATGGGCTGAGAAGGACCAGTCCAAACATCCCTCTCCCTCTCCTGCCTCTCTGCAAAGACAACAACATTATTCACACAAACTAATACAATCATCGCCCAACAGCCTTGACCACTACTGAGACTTCCTCTGCATGCTAATGGAGCCACGGGTAGACAAACACAGCAGCCATGCCAAACCCCCTCCAGGTCTGCAGACGGGCATCAGTGAAGCGGGGAAAGCCCCACACATCTGCAGCGGGCGCAGACACCCAGAATCTTTCAAAGGCTAAAAAACAATTATAACCCGCTGGCATCCGTCCATCCATCTTTCCAAAGGATATGCCAGCTGGCGTGTGCGCGGACACACATACTCACTAATGCATAGATCAGATGCAGGTCAGTACGAGCACACAAGAGGGTAGATGCAATTTTATTTTGCCGTCTATGGGGCATCTGTTCAACTCCAAACAAGCAAGTCAACAAGCTTTCTAAATGTACAACTGCGACCACTGGCTCTTGATTACATCATGGTTTACAAATTACAGACAAACTATCTAACGCTTTGAACATGTAAAAAAAAAAAAAATCAATGTTTTATATATGAATCAAGCATCAAAACAATAAAAGTTTAATACAGCTTTAATTTTTTTCAAACATTAGAATGTGTCCAGGTTAATTTGATCTTTTTCTGAGCATAAAATAATGACTATCATACATTTTCACCATGATTTACAGAAGACAACCACAAAAATGTCATTCAGTAACTTATGCCTTGACAGGCATATTTAGAACACATTTTAATTATTTTAAATGAGTGTTGTCAAATCGATTAAACGCTATTAATCGCATCCAAAATAAATGTTTGTGTATGCACATATTCATAGTACACACACATATATATTGTGTGTACTATGTATATATTATAAATACACAGGCATACCCGTATATATTTAAGAAATATATGTAAAATATTAAATATTATAACATTTAAAAATAAAAGTATGTTTCATTGTACACACACACATATATTGTGTGTTCTATGTATATATTATAAATACACAGGCATACCTGTATATATTTAAGACATATATGTAAAATATAAAATATAATAACATTTAAAAATAAAAGCATGTTTCATTTGTAAATATGTATGTTAAGATGAATGACATTTTTTACATGAGCTATATATATATATATTTACATGTGTACTTTATATCTTTTGATGTTTATGCAACTAAAATCAAATAAAGCAGGATGGTCTTACCTCTAGAGCTGTGGCTCGCTTCTTCAAAAAATTTTCTATATTCCTTGCCGCTGTTTCCACAAGCTGTGCCGCATTATTTGTTTTCACAGTGAAATAATTCTGATTATCCATAAAGATCTGCCATAACGGAGAGAAAAAGACACTCATTAGGGACTCTGGTAATGAGGTAACGAGATGATGGTTTACCGGTAATGATTGTTTTGATAATTAAGCAGGCTTTTATTGAGGCTTAACTCTCGCTTATGATTTGTTGGGGTGAATACACATTAAAATACACATACATCAATATGTACAGGGGTGTGTGTGCGTGGTAAAGTGTGAAGGCCTTTGGACCTCTGACCTGTCTTAGATTATTCCCAGCGCTGGCTGTGTCTGCTAGAGAAACCAGCTCCTGCTGCAGTTGATCTACCCATTCTTTTATCCTGCAAACACAAACACTCCTATTAAATACACAATTGCAATCTAAATATATACCTAGAGGGGTCAGAAAATGTGATGGAAAACAATTCAAGTCTTTATGAAGTAACTAAGCCACAGTCATGAAGACAGCTACATATGTGAGTCATATCGAAAGCAATTTGCAGTATGGAAGAGTTACAGCAAATGTGATCTCATGACAGGTGCTTTTAATATGCACGATTTAAAAATAGCACGAAGCAGCTACAAATGACTATATAGTCAGTTAGCACACTGCAAGCAAGAACTCAAGATGAATAACCTGGTGAACGTACAAAAAAACCCTGTCCTTCAGAGCAAACGCAAAACGCTTCAAGCACAAACATGTGTACCTCAGAAATGGCTTTAGTGATCGTTTGTTGTGTTTTGTAAATGCTGTGCTTTAATTTTGTAGTTTGTGTGACCCTACCTGATTGTCTGAACTAAACAAATGGCTCATTTATTTGATCAAGGTGACGCAAAAATCGATCAAGCAAGTCAAATCCTCAATAAACCTGGGCATATCAAACTTAGCAGACAAAGGGTTGTACAAACACAAATAAGTTACCTACCTGGAAACAATCAGCGAACGTATGCAAAATAAGAACATTTCGCATGAACTTTAAAATAAAAGCACAAATGTACAAAATGAAATGCATCTGCAGAATAACACAAAACTGGCGATCCCTCAAAGTGTTACTCTTCCATATTTTTAAGTATTTATATTTTGAGAAAGCAAAATCTTTCATCTTTAACCTACAATTCCTACAATTTGTAAATCTTATAAACCGCACATGGTTGCAGACCTGTTCTACAAGACAAAAATTCAGAGAAGTGGTTCCAATGACTGCTCCGCGTGGTTATATAACATCCAATTAATATTAATAATTAATCCTACTGTACAACCACACTTTGATGGAAACTCTCTTTCTTCATGATATTCCTTGATGTTACACTGCAAGATGAAAAGAGGAGTGAATTCATGGACATCGGGACGAAGTCACATGTCTTTCATGGCCTCTGTGATCACAGATCTAAAATGACCCAAACCACGATGAGAAATTCAGGAGGTGTTTGCGAAGTGTGAAGTCCACCGGAAAACTAGAGGTATCATCTCTTGAAGAACTGTATTTCTGACAAACTGTGATCCTAAACACTCATTTGTTTTTATACAATATGCATTTTATATTTTAGCAAAATATAAAATGTTCAAAAGTTGAGCACTATTTATTTGTTTGTTGTTTATTTTTTATTTATTTATTTTTGAGGAAACGTGTCCTCACTAAATAAAACTTTTAATTTCCTTAAAACATTTAATTAAATAAAAAAATAATCAAATAATGAATATAATTTACAAATAATGTATCACTGTTTCCACAAAATGATTGCATCACAGCTATTTTCAACACTGATTACGATGAAAAATGTTTCTTGAGAACCAAATCAGCATATTAGAATTACTTCTGAAGGATAAAGACGAGTAATGGATACTGAAAATTCTGTTTAAAAATATTAAAATAGAAAACGGTTTAAATTGTAATAATATTTCACAGCATACTATTTTTACTGTATTTTAATAAAACAACTGCAGTCTTAGTAAGCCTTTTTCAAAAACATTATGTAGTGTATATGAAATCATTTCTAATCTTTAATTATTAAACATTCTCACTCACTCATGCTGCACAGAAATATTCGGTAAAGCATTCTGCCCTCTCATGTATTATTTTTGTGAGAGAACAAAAGTCTGCTGTCTACATAAAAGAAGCTGAGTAGCAAATGTTCAGTGACTTTGTGATACCAGAGAAAAAGGCCAGGGTCTTACTCTCTTTCCCAGAAGAACAAAAACACACATATCCACAGCAGTCATCCAAGTTTAAATCATGAACCCAGACCGTCAATACTAGTATAATAGAACCCTCCAGTGCTTTCTGTATTGGGGTCAGAACCGAATTTGAAAAAGGAAGTGAAAAAAGATAGATGGGCTGCAAAGAATTCTGAATTTAATATAGGCTCCTCCATCCTTCTCCTCTAGCGCTCATTCTATTCTTCTGTCATACGCTTTTTTCCTCAGGGGCTGGAAACACAGAAGCACAGATGTAGGCTGCAATGAGACAATCTGTTGTCTGAAGTGCTTTCTAACGAGCAGAGGTGGACAGATATGGTTATACTAGCACTTTTTTGCACCAAGTCTGCTAAGTCAAAATATCCTGTTTGCAACTATGCCTCCAGCCATGTAAAGTCCCACACATTCTTTAAAACCTTTACCCTGTAAATAAGCCATTACCAATCAGACCTCCTTCACTCACAGGATGTTGCACACTACCTAGTAAACTTACAACCACACACGCTGCCAGGTTTTATGGTGGAAGAAAAGCCAAGTTTCTCACAACCACCATGACTCATGTACTGATGCAACAAAGTCTAAATGTCTGCAGATGTACGAAACACTCAAAGAAATAGTTGAATCAAAAATAAATAAATAAAAAAATGCTGAAAATGTAGATGTGTTTGCTTCTTCATCTGAACAGATTTGGAGAAACTGTAACATTATATCACTTGCTCAACAATGAATCATCTGTAGTGAATGGGTGCCATCAGAATGAGAGTCCAAACAGCTGACAAAAACATCACAATAATCCATAAGTAATTCCCACAAATCCAATCCATCAATTAACGTCTTGTGAAGTGAAAAGCTGTGTGTTTGTAAGAAGTAAATTCATCATTAAGGCGTTTTAACAAATATGAGTCCATAATGAATCAATCATTCAAAATAACGCTTCCTCCAGTGAAAGTCCATCCCACATCGAAATAGAGCAACATATTTGTTAAGAACCGTTTTAGATTGTTTTCACTTGTAAATGTGCTTGATCTGTGCATATTTCTCTCCTGATTCAGACAAGACGACTTTTATCACTTTTATCAGCTGTTTGGACTCTCATTCTGACGGCACCCATTCACCACAGAGTGTAATGCTACATTTCTCCAATTCTGTTCCAATGAAGAAACAAAACTCATCTACATCTGGGATGGCCTGAGGGAGAGTACATTTTCAGCAATTTTTCATTTTTGGGTGAACTATTCCTTTAAGTTGAAGCTTGATCTACAGTATAATGAAAGTACTTAATTTTAATCACAGTTAAGATATACTACAATACTTGCAGGTTTCTTACTATGCTTAAAATTGGTTGATTATCATGTGGTTTAATGCATTTCGCTCTTTAAAGGTGTAGCCATGATGTTGCAATTATTTATAAGAACATACAATGGTGCATTTTGAGGCATAATTAATGCAATAAGAAAACTTTTATAATGTATAATACATACAGGCCTCAAGTGAAGTGTTACCTAACTGTTCATGTATCTTTTACATCCAACAGCATTATCTTGAATTAAAAGATACGTCTATCTAGTACAGTAGGTAAGATAAAATGTTTAATCAAAGGAAACATCCACAGTTCTTTAGATGAATTCTGCTAAAAAGGTAATTTGTCAGTGATCATAATAAGTTTATTCCAGCGAATGTGTGCTTTCATTCACTTCCATTTCCAAGGTCCATTCAGAGACTTCCCTGCGCTCCTCTATAATAAGCTATTTAATCCCTTTACAGGCTGAGGATTAGCGCTCATCTGACAGGGGAACAGAACTGTGACTCTAAGCTTTTTTTCTTTTTAAAGAACTTATGGCTACGCTTACATTAAACAGTTGCTGCTGGGAACAATGCAAGGTTCTAGACCAGGGAACCATGCAACTATTTATTAAGGGGGCACCATTTCAGTTAGACTTGGGTCAGTTAGGACAGATAAAACAAAGCTCTAATGCAACTAAACTTGCACGCTTTGATGAATCTTGTTATTATTTGTAGTTTAAAATGTTGAGCAAGGCACTAGCAACACCAAAGTCAGTGTTTCATTCTCAGGGAATTAACTAATAAAATGTATACCTTAAATGCAACACAAGTCTGTCAAACCCTAAAGGTTTGGGGTAAGAAAGACGTTTTGAAACAAGCCTCTTATGCTAACCAAGGCTGTATCAAAAATTCAGTAATACAGTAAAATTGTGAAATATTATGAAAATGTAAAATAACTGTTTTCTATTTCATATATTTTAAAATGTAATTTATTCCTGTGATGACAAAGCTGAATTTTCAACTGTCATTACATTAAGTCTTCAGTGTTACATGATCCTTCAGAAATCGTTCTAATATGCTGATTTTGGTCTGCTTGCTAGCAGAGCTTCTATTATAAAATAATAATAATAAAACAAACTTTGCACAGCTAATGAAATGAGACTTCTTTTTTGGCTGAACTACTCTTTTTAAGTGTGCTCCTAAACATACCGCTTATTACAGCATAACATTGATCTTGTCCTCTCCACAGGTGAGTGGCGTCTCTGTCAGTAAGTGGATGAGTGTGGGACTGAGGGACAGGTGTCTCAGGCTGTCAAGAGGACACAGTCACAGTGATCACCTGCGTCATCTCTCTGTGGGAATCCTCCCTCAGTTCCCTCTCTAAAAAGCCTGTTTCTGCACTAATACTACCAACTGAAAGAAACCAGAGGAGCAGTGTGGCTTATGTCGCTCCAAATTGAGTGGATTAGTTATTGAGTACTCTCACTTCCTTTATAAGTGTATCTGAGGCACAGATGGGAGGGAAAGCCGAAAGTGTTTTATTTATTAGTTTTTTGCTGTTTTTGTCTTGATGCACCTTTTCTTTCTCTCCCACAGTAATGGTTTCAACAACCGTTGTACATCCAAGAACAGACAGAAATAAAACTAATTGTGGGAAGCAAAAATTAGCTACAGTATATGCAAAACAAAAAAACTGACACACATACACATAGTATTACTTTAAAGTATCTCTCACAACTAAAGGAGATGGTTAAATATGTTAAAGGGGTCATATGATGCTTTTTTAAACATCATTATTTTGTGTATTTGGTGTAACAGAATATGTTGACATGCTTTAATGTTCAAAAAACACATTATTTTTCAAATACTGTACATTATTGTAGGTCCTCTATGCCCCGCCTCTCTCAAACGCTTCGTTTTCTACAAAGTCCCTCCTTCCGACAAGCGCAGTCTGCTCTGATTGGCCAGCTGACCCAGTGCATTGTGATTGGCCGAACACCGCAAGTGTTATACTTTATTCTCAAATTGTTAATGTTAACAACATCAGCGTTGCGTGATTATGAGTATAGTGTGTATAAGCAAGTAGATTTCAATTTCTGTACTACAGTCTAAACTCTAATTGTCATAATCTTCGAATTTCGTATTAAGAAATTCTTTTAACCCAAAAAGCAAATTATGCTCCCTTCGAACTGGTTGTCTTTAAAATACAAATCTTGTGTAATCCCAGGCTATCTGTAATCAGAAGCACATTTAAAACTGGAATATAATTTAATTTCATTCACATGTGTTTCATAAACAACTAATCCTTTCTGGATTACAATCCGCCATCAAAATGATAAATTTAATTATTCCAGCTGCTGTGAGAAAAGGCTACAAAGATCCTCCACCTGCAGCATCCTCACACGCGATAGCCTAGTAGCCGGGACAACTTCTTTATGTTTACAGACGTGACGTAATGACACAGTGCCATGCTCGAATTTCGAGAAATGAGTTATCTTAAAGGGACAGTTCACCCAAAAATGAATATTTGCTGAAAAGTTACTTAACCTTAGGTCATCCAAGATGTAGTTCATCAGAACAGATTTGGAGATATTTGGCATTACATCACTTGTTTACCAATGGATTTTCTGCAGCGAATGGGTGCCGTCAGAATTAGAGTCCAAACAGCTGATAAAACATCACAATAAAACAACAACCAATCCACATGACTCCAGTCCATAAATTAACGTCTTGTGAAGTGAGAAGCCATGTGTTTGTAGTAAACAAATCCATTATTAGAACATTTTTTAGAACTGTTTTTCTTGTTTTTCTGCGCATATTTTTCTCCTGATTCAGACAAGACGACTTTTCACTGGCAAAAGCAATATTATGGATAGAGTACTCACATTTTAGCCAGAAACAATAATTGCTATTCACTTCACAATATGATAATTTGATTGACTGGAGTATGTGGATTACTAGTGATGTTTTCATCAGCTGTTTGGACTCTCATTCCGACGGCACCTATTCACTGCAGAGTATCCAATGGTGAGCAAGTATGTAATGCTAACTTCTCGAAATCTGTTCCATTGAAGAAACATTCTCATCTACATATGGCCTGAGGGCTATACTTTCTATACTAGACTTTCAGCAAATGTTCAATTTGTGGTGATCCATTCCTTGAAGCTTTCCCCCTTACTTTTAATTTACACTGTACTATTCTGCTGTAACCTTTTCAAGACAACCTTTTCAACAACTGAAAATAACACAAAGGCATATCATTCTTTTTCATTATTTTAAAGCAATGCATTATTGACGTAGATTCTCAGATATCTACCTGAAGAGCCCATTTAACAAAAGCATTTGTTATGCGGAACAATTATTTCCTGGTTTTTACGGCCATTACAAATATATTGATCTACGTCAGTTCAGGCCACCCAAGAGGTTTGTTTTTCCTGAATGCATGTTCTAGTGCAGAACAAACAGGTGGTCAAATCAAAAGGTCCAGCTTCTTACATAATCTTTGTAAATCGTTATCTTAATGCATTGCATTAATGCTCTTCACACCATGCAATAAAACACAATTTGAGACCACAGTCACGATGTAAAAATACACCAATTCTGTCTATTACTGCATTCAGAAATTACATTTTATAGATTTATGAAAGCACGTAAAAATCTGTGGCATGTTAAGATTGTATAACAGTGAGGAAACTGACAAATCTCTTGTTCTGCTGTCACAACCACCTGGTGAAACAATCACTTTTTAAGCAGCAGTGCAGACAATAAGGGCAATTCATCTCAGATGCATCTGTCCTGAAACATGCTAACAACAGGAATACCTCAATGTACTGAGCTGGGGAACAGCAATGGGCCTTCCGTACAAATTCACAATCGTGCACATCCACAATAGTTTAAACTTACTTTTTGCATACGATTTAACTTGTCTGCTATACAGACTCATTTAAATATCAGGTTAACAAAAGACTTGCCAGCTCAAAACAGAAAACTGCTCAACCATCTGTCAGGTCACATCTGTCTCTCACAAACACAATCGTTTGTGTGCCATACATGGTCACAATGCAATTCTGTTGAATATTGTTATGCAATACATTAACTAAAGCAATCCTGAACTTTTATTCAAGTAACATTGGAGCAAATAATCTGGACATCTTTAGCAAGGTAAAATAATTAGTCTATGTTCAGTTAAATATCTCATGCTGAATGATATTTGTAAAGTGAAAAATCTTAAATCATGGGAAAAGATTACATAAGGTGAAGGTGAAATGGAAACCACAGGAGGTAAAAGCTTTAACCTGGCTTATAACCTTAAGATTAGTGTCAGTAAAAAGTTAAACACATACACACAATATGTTTGCGAGATTAACAGACCTTAATTTGTCAAAATTCACCAATAATCTAAAAGAGAGTGTTTAGCTGAAGAACCATTGTGAACAGATCGCTGAGTCAGATTTTAAGAACTGGAGCAATGAATGAATCATGCTTTTGAGCCAGTTCTTTTCAATTGGTTAAACCAGCTAACAAATTGTACTGATTTTTTTACAAATCATAGTTCAACTCTGACTCACTGATTCAGTCCCACAGGCTCTCAAGATCACTGGAGGAGAAGATCATAATCAGAAGACTTCAGAAGGTTTGGGATTTCGCTCACAAGTCCTACAGAACACTTTTAAGGTGCTTTTTGTTCCTTTGTTTGGATCTTAACAGTTGTGCTTATCAGCAGTCTCGCTTGGAAAAGACATGAAAAACATTTAAGAGTGAATAACTTCATGTCTTGATAAACAAATCAATAATGGGAAATAATGTCTCCTCCCCCAATCATTCAACATAATTCATAATATCGATTGTGTATTTGTCTGCTGTATTATTAAACAACGTTACCTCTTAACATCATTGAACAGAATTTATATATTGTCTATAAGTCTATAAGCGTTTGGACGTTATTGACCATTATTGGGGCATATAGATGTAGACAATTATTGTTTATAATGAAACAAAAATCTAAATAAAGTATACAGATTACATACGATGCGTTAAATTCATGTTAAACTGCACACAAGTAAATAAATAGTTTGTGTATTATGCATCCAGCACGATATACACACTCACAAAAACGTACAATTACACTTACGCACGTTCAAACTGAATGAAAGAACAAAAAAAGAAGCGTTTTAATCAACAGTTGAAACACTGTGACGCTCTTCTGCACACACAACTGCACAGACAACAACGTTAAAGTACTTACATGAGCGGACTGGGGAACTGCGATGGGCACGAGATATGAACAGATGCGAAGAGGAACATCATCAGCACCGAGATTCTGAACGGCTTCATGGCCAGATCTGTTGATCTCGAGCGCACCATCATCTGTCAGTCCACACCAGTTACTTTTCTCCAGAGATATAACGCGTCGTTCTCCTGTGCTGCTGGATAATCGTATTATTTCCCGTCATCAGGTTAGAGACAGACTGGATCGGATTGGTGATGAGTGTCCTGTTGGATAGCTCTATACGCGCCGCTTCATGTTACAAAAGCGCGTGTGTGGCTCTTCTGTGTGATCCTGCGCGCGCTCTGATCAAACTACTGACCCCGTATAGAGGGGAGGGAGAGATCAATAGCCCCGAATCAGCGTCATTCTGCCCCCACCCCGCTCTCCTGCCCTCTTATTGCAATAGCCTTGATCGGATCTTCTTGCAATGCAACCCTCTCCAGTCCCTCTCTCTCTCCTCCTCCTCCTCCTCCTCCTTCTCTTATGCTTCCTCGACACATACTAAGTAACACCTTATGCTTCCTCGACACATACTAAGTAACACCCTCCTGAAATCAATTAAGAATGCGTACAAAAGTGCCGTGATACCCACTGAAAGCCAATTAAGAAGATTTGGCATTTACATTTTTACTTGAGTACAGTACGTTTTTGGCACATAAAGAAATAAACTGCAATGATTTTTTTAAAATACTTGTTTTTATTGATATTTTATATAATACTTATGGTTACACAACGTATATAAATACTTACATTAATTTTATATTATTAACGCCATCTGCATGCAATACTACTACTACTGATAATAATTATAATAATACTTTTGTTTATTTGATATAATATTTATTTTAATATAAATTACATAAATATTTATAAAATCTGTACTACTATTACTACAAATACCTAATATATTTATAAGTATAAATTATTATAATATTATTATTTAATAATGCTATTATTATTATTAGTAGTAGTAGTAGTAGTAGTAGTAGTAGTATTATATTATTCAACAACAAAATATCATCAACAACAATAATATATTAAATAAAAACAATGCTATCTTCATTCTACATGAAACATATTTTATTTATACATATTTTTATATAAATGATAAACATTTTATATTATATTATTATTTCATTATATTATTATTCAATAATAATAAAAATAATAATAATTATTATATTTATAATAATTAAATAATAATAATTAGTATTATTATATTAAATAAAAACAATGTGTTCATACTACATGTAAAATATTTTATTTACATATTTTGTTATTTATATAAATGATAAACATTTTATATAATAATAAAAATCATCATCATTATTATGAAAATTAAAATGCCATCTACATTCTACATGAAAACATATTTCTTATATGTGTATTATTATATGTATATAAATTATACACATTATATTTTAATAACATTTATTATTTTTATTATTATTATTATAAAAATAACTCAACACCAAACTACATGTAAAGACTTTGCTATAAGTTTGATTGCATCATATAATAATTGCTGTTAATAGTCATAATAATTGCTGTTAATCGTCTGTTTGATTACATCTTTGATTTTTCCGTACATTTCTGCCATATGTACATAAACTGACAGTCACTGATAAGCTACTACTAAATATTGTAGAAACTTAATTTTCTGTAAAGTTGCTTTGCAACGATTTGTATTGTAATATATACATAATAAATATACACAGTATACACACATATATTATGTGAACAAAAACTTTAATTTGGATGCGATTTATCGAGATGAATCGTTTGACATCACAAATATATACACACACAATACACTAATATCGAGTGATCTAGGACCTTTATATAGTGAGTGCCATTGTAAAGACTGATCCCTCACAGTCTCGTTTTTACCCATGTTAAACTTAATATGGCATCTAACCTGACTAAGGTCTGGTCCTAAAACAGGGCTGACAAAGCACTCTGCAATATATAAATTAATTCGACAAACAACCATCAAATAATAATGAAAAATTTAACATTTCCCATGTAACTGTCGACAAGACAAGCATCATAGAATCAAAACAATGAAATGCATTTTCACATTTGAAATAGAATCTATTCTTTATTATTTAGACGCAGGGAGAAAGATTTTATTTCTTAGCTTTCATATATTTTTTCTCTACTGCACAATTTGCATAATTTCATGACATCCTGTGGACAACCACAAAACCATAACATTAGATTTTTTTCTACTTTTTTTTTTACATGAAGTGAAAAACAAGACTCATTTTACAAGCATTTTTACAGTCCGCATACAACTTCAGATGATGTGTTGAATTTTTCTCTCTTTTTAAACTGAATCTGGAGGCAAAATATATCAACAAACATCTAACAAAACATGCAACATCTATGTAAAAACATAGAAACTCTTTGACAACCATTCAATTTGACAGGACATTTTGTGTTGTCTTTTTTCCTTTTTTTTTTAACCGTATCGTTTTCATTCTGAGAGATGTTGTTGATTTCGTCAAACAGGTTGGAATGGATTGATCAAACACATGATTTTAAACAGATCCAGATATTACTTTCTTACACAGTTAGACGAATACAATATGTACAGACAGAGTTTGACCTTGATCACAATCACATGCTCAACGTCAGACCAAATAAATATTCAGACCTCTTCTTGTAGAAAATATCCTATATATTTACAAAATCAAAAAAATAACCAAAATCACATTCACACGGGTTACGGCAACTGAATTCTGAATTGAAAGAATTGAACTGAATTGAAAGAAAAAAAAAAATCACACTTTGAAAGGTGTGATGATCTAAATAAAACTGATGACACTTGTTACAGGTTTTAATTGGCCATCATAATTATGCACCAACATAAAATATGCATTATTATGTTTCACATCTACACAGATTTTTTTTTTTCCTTTACAAAAAAAAAAAAAAAAGTTCTGATCAGCATATATATATTTTTTGTCATTTTTTACGATGAAATTTAGAAACCTATGAAAACAATAACGTAAAGTGCATATGATTAATATGTACTGTGCCATAAAGAGGAAGTAAAAAATAAATAAATAAAAATAAACATACAATATTCATATAATTAATTTCTTTTTTTTTCTTTAACAGATATACATATATTCAGACACTCGCTTGATGTCGCATGTTAAGGTTTATGCATTCAAAGAACATAATCCATGTTGCATAGATTTACCCAAACAGAACCAGTGGATTTGGTTAAAAAGTTCTGATCAGCATATATATATTTTTTGTCATTTTTTACGATGAAATTTAGAAACCTATGAAAACAATAACGTAAAGTGCATATGATTAATATGTACTGTGCCATAAAGAGGAAGTAAAAAATAAATAAATAAAAATAAACATACAATATTCATATAATTAATTTCTTTTTTTTTCTTTAACAGATATACATATATTCAGACACTCGCTTGATGTCGCATGTTAAGGTTTATGCATTCAAAGAACATAATCCATGTTGCATAGATTTACCCAAACAGAACCAGTGGATTTGGTTAAAACATCAGGTTGGCACACGATAGTTCATCTTACTACAACAGCAACCTTATATTCAGGTACATCTGTGCACCACCTGTGCAAGATGCAGATTAAATCATATGGAAACATTAGTGTACATTTTATTAGCCAGGTTACAAAACAATCTGTTTCCATGTATGAAATATGTCCACTGATATTGATAATGGAAACACTGACTGTTAAGTTAGAAAAGTACTGTCTGGTGTTGAGATCCTAGACAGACAAAAACACATGCCTTTATCCATCAATGGCACATACTAGTGTAGCTATACACTGATATGGTGCAGGTTAAAGAGGCAGTGATCTAAACCGACATGAACAGATGAACTTTACAGCAGAAAAACAATATTAAAAGTGCACCACCATGGAACAGTGACACGTGACGCAGGACAGACACCTTGCACCATTAAAATAAACAACAAACGTTACATCTGGATTTCAATCAAGCCAATTAAGCCAGAACCCTCGTATAAAAGCCAAGGAGGACTCAAATGTACGTTAATTATTACCATTATCTTTTTTTTTTTTTTGTCATTGCATATTTGGATTCCACATACAACTTGGTCACAAAACAGCGACTATTAATGACAACATCTGACCACTAACATGACATTTACTTCAAGATGCTGTTCATAAAGCAAACACACATCGTGGACACGTACAATCATACTTCTAGACAGAAAACAGATGCCCTTTAACCTCAGAGAACCAAATTTGAGGGCTCGAGACACTAAAAACAAAGCACGCCCTCATTTAGCATCCAACAAATAGCCTCCGTGAAAACCATCACATCCAAGTCATCTCCTTTTTGAACTTTTGCCATCTGGTCGGCGTGGCAGAGCACCGAATACCAGGACAGCCAGGCACAAGAACAGTTTCTTTCCCCAGGCAAGCTACCTCATGAACAGTTAATGTTCTCCCATTGTGCAATTATAGTACAGTATGTGCAATAACCTTATACTTATTTATCACCCTAAACCCTAGTACATCCCTACAACTTATTTTATTTTATTCTATTCCTACTCCATCTATAGCACACCTGTACATACAATTTATTCTTTTTTTGTGGTTTATATTTATGCATGTGTATTTTATTCACATCTCATTTTTATTATCTGTGTGTTATTGTTGTCTCCGTGTACTGGAAGCTTGTGACACTATAACAAATTCCTTGTATGTGCAAACATACTTGGCAATAAAGCTCTTTCTGATTCTGATTCTGATTCTGATCTGATCTCGACTTGATTGATGGATCCATGTCCAGTAGCTGATGTCAGTCACAACCTGAAGTTTCAACATTCCCTAAACATTGAAGATGACACTCAAGACATTATAAACGGAGGAATCTCGAACTGTGCACAGTTGGATGTTGCATTCAATAAGGGGAATCCATTATATTTACGATTGTCTTTCTTACAGTATAACCTCTATACAATGCATAACATAGCATGATATGGTCATTATACATCACATGATTGTGTCAAGAACTACGTCTGTCTCCTTGTGAACAATGTTTTTTGCAAAAAAATTTGGACGTGATAGCTGAAATGACATTGAAATGTAATAATTGGTAGTAATAATTGGCTCATGCCTAAGATATTTTAGATGTAGAATGTAGTTGCAGAAATGACTCCCTCAAATAGACAATAGCAGTGCTCTGGGAGTGGAAATAGTGTCAAATGGCCTCAAACTCTTCGTCACAGTATTTCATTCAACTGATTTTCTCTTTTCATGATCTATCAGTCATTCCAGATCCACAAACCCACCTTTTCCTGTTTTATTTCTCTTTTTTGGAGGGCACCGATGGGAGATGGACGGCACGTGATTACGGCTGCGTTTGACTGGTTGTGGCCACTAGCTTGTGCCAGCTGACGGCCCGCTTACGCATGTCCACTTTGTCCAGCCAGATGTAGGCCTCGCCAATCAGGGTCTTCTTCATAAACTTCCCTCCATTTGACACCAGGAACATCTGTGAAGAGGAAGGGGATAAAAGACAGGAGAAATGGTAAACAAAAAGTCAGAGGAAATCATTTAAAGGGGTGGTTGATTGCGATTTCATATTTTTAACGTTAGTTAATGTGTAATGTTGCTGTTTGAGAATAAACAGTATCTGCAAAGTTACGAAGCTGAAAGTTCAATGCAAACAGAGATAGTGTCTTTTAAAATTCTGGCAGTTTAATGCCTACAAAAATGGCTGCCTACCATTAAGAGCCGTGCTTGCACAGGTTCTGCATGATCCTCTTTAATAATATCCTCTGCGTCTCAATCGGGCTCAACTGATAAGCAATATAGACGACTTCATTGTTTACAATACAACCGGAGCACATGCCGCTGAGGTGAGGTGTGGGACGTTTAGACGCGCACTAGAGGCGGTTTAGCCAATCACAACACACTGGGCTAGCTAACCAATCAGAGCCCATCAATAAAGATAAATTATGTGAAAAATAATGCTTTTTTAAAAAAAACGAAGCATTAACACGTTAGACCGCACCCCATAAACACAATCAAGCCTAGAAAAAACCCAGTGAACCACCCCTTTAAATAATATAATACATACACTATCGTTTATCGTTTAAAGGTCAGTAAGATTATTTAATGAATACATATTTGAAATGAATGTTTTTATTTAGAGACGGTAGACGGTAAATACATTATTATGGAAAAAATATTTCTATTTCAAATAAATGCTTTCTATTCATCAAAAATAATCTTGAAAAGAATGTATCACGCTTTTCACAAAAATATTAAGCAGCACAACTCTTTTCAAACTTGATAATAATACGAAATGTTTTTGAGCATCAAATCAGTATATTAGAATGATTTCTGAAGGATCATGTGACACTGAACACTGGAGTAATCATGCTGAAAATCCAGCTTTGCATCACAGGAATAAATTGCATTTTAAAATATATTAAAAAGAAAAAAAAAGTTATTTTAAATTGTAATAACATTTCACAATATTCATGTTTTTACTGTATTTTTGATCAAATAAATGCAGCCTTAATGTGCAGAAAAGACTTCTTTCAAAAACATCTTACCGACCCCAAATTTTTAATGGCACACACACACACACACACACACATTACATGAAGTCATTTATTTGAACTTCCTCTCCGTAGATTGGTTGTCGTCTTGGATTGTGATATATATATATATATATATATATATATATATATAGCCTATATACTGCCTGTCTGTCATTTTGAATTTGCCTCAGTTTATAATTTCTCTCACCTGAATAGAGTGGCCAACGGGATTCAGGTTAAAACGAAATGTCTCATTGAATGATGGCTCTCTGTCATGGCGACACACTCTGGTCTTCTTCTTTATGATCTTCTTTTGAGTTGCCACATTCACCACATAAAGCTTTACGTACAAGTCTAAAAAGACAGTTGAAATATTACAGATTCAAATACTCTGTCAGTGTCTTTCTCAATGGACATTTCACTTATCTTGACTGCAATATTCGTATATCAGTGTCATTTTTGAGGTTGTGTTTGAGGAAAGTTTCATTACCAGGTAGGTGGTCTGGAGATTTGAACTTGTAGGTGATGTTTCTACACTGCAGGATCTCAAGAACCAGCTGCTCTCCTTCAGTCTTCATTTCCTTCTTCAGAGCAACCTTGATCTCACCCATCATCTTATCTACAGCCATAGACAGGCAGATAGAAAGATAGATAGATACAATATTTAAAATGTATTATAACATATTCTATTTCATATATTTGTTGTCTAATCAATTTTGAATATGATTTTTCTCTTGTTGGAGGGCTGAAATGTTGCTGTACGTTGTCATTTGTTCAATATAAGTTAATATAAGTGGTGAGCAATAGCGAACTCTAGTGGGCAGGTGTGGAATTACAATTTTACACTGAGCAGAATGGAAAAGCTGGGAACCTAAGCAGGCAAAATCTTCATTTAACTGTTAATACAAAATATATTTTAGACGCGCACTAGAGGCGGTTTAGCCAATCACAACACACTGGGCTAGCTAACCAATCAGAGCCCATAGCCTATTTCTGAGGGCGGGGCTTCATAAAAGCAGGAAATGATCATTGTGTTTCTCGGAGAAGGGACAGAGTGGTGTGGAATAAAGGTAAATTATGTGAAAAATAATGCTTTTTTTTTTAAACGAAGCATTAACACGTTAGACTGCACCCCATAAACACAATCAAGCCTAGAAAAAACCCAGTGAACCACCCCTTTAAATAATATAATACATACACTATCGTTTAAAAGTTTGGGGTCAGTAAGATTATTTAATGAATACATATTTGAAATGAATGTTTTTATTTAGAGACGGTAAAGATTTTTTACATTATTATGGAAAAAATATTTCTATTTCAAATAAATGCTTTCTATTCATCAAAAATAATCTTGAAAAGAATGTATCACGCTTTTCACAAAAATATTAAGCAGCACAACTCTTTTCAAACTTGATAATAATACGAAATGTTTTTGAGCATCAAATCAGTATATTAGAATGATTTCTGAAGGATCATGTGACACTGAACACTGGAGTAATCATGCTGAAAATCCAGCTTTGCATCACAGGAATAAATTGCATTTTAAAATATATTAAAAAGAAAAAAAAAGTTATTTTAAATTGTAATAACATTTCACAATATTCATGTTTTTACTGTATTTTTGATCAAATAAATGCAGCCTTAATGTGCAGAAAAGACTTCTTTCAAAAACATCTTACCGACCCCAAATTTTTAATGGCACACACACACACACACACACACATTACATGAAGTCATTTATTTGAACTTCCTCTCCGTAGATTGGTTGTCGTCTTGGATTGTGATATATATATATATATATATATATATATATATATAGCCTATATACTGCCTGTCTGTCATTTTGAATTTGCCTCAGTTTATAATTTCTCTCACCTGAATAGAGTGGCCAACGGGATTCAGGTTAAAACGAAATGTCTCATTGAATGATGGCTCTCTGTCATGGCGACACACTCTGGTCTTCTTCTTTATGATCTTCTTTTGAGTTGCCACATTCACCACATAAAGCTTTACGTACAAGTCTAAAAAGACAGTTGAAATATTACAGATTCAAATACTCTGTCAGTGTCTTTCTCAATGGACATTTCACTTATCTTGACTGCAATATTCGTATATCAGTGTCATTTTTGAGGTTGTGTTTGAGGAAAGTTTCATTACCAGGTAGGTGGTCTGGAGATTTGAACTTGTAGGTGATGTTTCTACACTGCAGGATCTCAAGAACCAGCTGCTCTCCTTCAGTCTTCATTTCCTTCTTCAGAGCAACCTTGATCTCACCCATCATCTTATCTACAGCCATAGACAGGCAGATAGAAAGATAGATAGATACAATATTTAAAATGTATTATAACATATTCTATTTCATATATTTGTTGTCTAATCAATTTTGAATATGATTTTTCTCTTGTTGGAGGGCTGAAATGTTGCTGTACGTTGTCATTTGTTCAATATAAGTTAATATAAGTGGTGAGCAATAGCGAACTCTAGTGGGCAGGTGTGGAATTACAATTTTACACTGAGCAGAATGGAAAAGCTGGGAACCTAAGCAGGCAAAATCTTCATTTAACTGTTAATACAAAATATATATTTATACCGGTATGATATAAAACATGGAGCAGTATACTGAAATAGATTTCAGAACAAGACATCAGTGGCAACTAAATACAAAACAGTGTTTTGTGTAATGTTCATTATGTTGTACAAAGATAAACAAAAATGTTCAGTAATGCACTTTTGACACTTTGCCATGCTCATGACACACTTAGAGTCCATGTTTTGTTGTGCCGAACGTCTGTGTCCTTTGACAGCAACAAAAACACACACCCTGTGACACTGTGATGAATTATTCAGCAGTGTATGGCAGTGACACAGTAGAGTGGAACAGAAGGGGATGACTGCTGTTTTCCTCTGTCTAACAGGTTCTTAGTCTCCTCAACAGCTTTCAGACAAGCACTAATTCAATCTCAGGGGTGAACCTGACCTGTAGAACACGGTTCAAAGCTCTATTATGACTCACAGTTTGCCAATTTTATTTCGTTCTCATGAGGTTCACTGCTATGAGCACGGAAATGTCTAAAAGTAGACTGCGTGTGAACTGAAAATGAAAATGAAACTGCAATATAAAACAGATTGTTACCTTCTGAATCAGACAGGTTCAAAGATTCAAGTCCTCGGATTTTATCTGTTCCATTTGGAATGTTTTTCCTGATGAGAAGAAAAGTGTGAGAACTACAACTTTTTACTATTTGGATATATAAGATTAGATGTCAACTATTTGGGTTTCTTAATGCAGACATATATACAGTTGTTGCTAGAAACATTACATTTCAAATCTTATTTAAACTTGGAAGTAAACAGTTTTTTAATTTTAGTTTTTTAATTAAAATACAGAAATATTACATAAAATGAATAAGAAATATCTCAGATTCTGCCTTTTTAAAAATTTCAATTAAATTTTTCATTCAAAATTTTCTCTCAAATTATGATAACATACACAACAACCATTCAAAACTTTGGGGTCAGTAAGATTTTTTAAAATTTATATTAATTTATTCAGCAATAACATTAAATTAATCAAAAGTGACAGTAAAGACATTTATAATGTTACAAATGTTGTTATAAATGTTATAGATGCTGTTCTTTTGACCATTCCATTGATAAAAAAAAAATCCTGAAAACAAAAATTAGCACGTTCACAGAAACATTTTAAACACAACTGATAATAAAAATAAATATTTCTTAAGCACCAAATCAGCATATTAGAATTACTTCTGATTTTTTTTTTATTAAAATAGAAAACAGTTATTTTACACTGTAATATTTCACAATATTACTATTTTTAATATATTTTTGTTTAAATGCATTAACCTTAAACATTAACATTACTGACACTAGTTTTAAAAGGAAGTTTATTATTTAATTAAATCTAAATATAATCATAATTTTAAATAAAATATATAATTACTTATTATTAAAATAGAACATTTTCACCAGTGGTCTCAACAATTTTGAACCCTACTGTTTGATTTATTATCTCTTTTGCTGATTAAAAGCAAAAGAGATATACTCAAATGTAACAAAACAAAAAAAAAAGGTTAGAGTCACAACATGTATTTCACACAATATTTACTCAGAATTCATTCAAAGATTATTGAAACAAACAAACAAAAAATGTGCAGTATACACTGGCAAAACTGGTGGCACTATCACTCTGTTAATCCAAGCCTGGTCTGGGTTTCCCAAAAGCATCGTAATCTTAAATACATTGTAGACCCATTGAAACCAATAGAGTTACGATCAACTTACAATGTTACAAAGTCAATTTAGACTTACAATGTTTTTGCGAAACACAGCCCTGCATGGTTATAGGCCAGTGCAGATAATCTCAAAACAGCCAAATCATCCAACATATCAATCTATCAGTCCGCTAGATACACTGAAATCCACAGAATACAGATTAATTGCAATTACAGGAGGGAACAGGCATACTTACAGCTGAGGGACCTGAAATATGGCACTGTCCACAGCGTTAGTGCCCAAGTTTTCTTCACTGTCCAGAGTGTATGCATCCCCATCAATCATTCTGTGGTTTGTTTTATCTGTAGAAATACACACATACACAAACAGACGATTAGACATCAGCCATATTATGCAAGCGACTCATTATTTACAATATTAACTTAAACACAATTTATGCAAAAAGAATGGGTATGCACCTTGCACACAAAGTTACATATGGACAGAAAAGAAAAGAGAACTAAAAAAAAGAGACCATCACAGTGAAATGAAAGGTAATGCACTCTTTTTAAAATAACGTCAAACATCGGTTTAAAAACAGAATAGATTTGTATGCAAATATCATGGCTGCCTTGATTTTAGATTTCAACATTTTGGTTTTTTGCTTCTGTACTGGAGGTGTGGTTAGTGCTGATTTTATTCTTATATTTAGAGAGAGGGAGGAGTCACGTGTCTCTCACCTCCTCTAGCAGAGATCCCTCCATGATGGTCATCTGACTTGATACTTTGCTCTCATTGGCTGGAAGATGTTGTGTGATCAGTATGGGGCCAGTTCTGCCTTTAGATGGGGCTGTCTCTACACGGACTCATCCAGAGATTGCATAGTTGCCCTCACATGAAACCAGCTCATGATTTTTACACACCACAGTCATGCGGACATAGACATGGGTTTGATTTGGGGGTAAGGGCCTGGGATTTTACTTGCAAGGGGTAATGAGGTAACAGAGGGGTTCATCATGCTCTGGATGTCAGTGTGAAGTGTTTTACAAATTTAGCTTTTCTATGACGGCAGGAAAGGTTTGTGCTGTACTTTGAGGGATTTTTTTAATGCCTCCTCTGCTTCTACAAAATTTGCTGTATTACAAAGAAACACTAAACCTGAATGTCTGGCATGAAATTTTATCTGGGAAATAAAATCTTTAATTGCTGACCCAAGTTTTACTACAGCTGAAGGCAGGTTTGTGATATTCGATTTACGGATGGGAGTTTAACAGACATTGGTTGTTTAAACAATTTAGGGTTTTATAGGCTTTATTAAACATTAAGATCTTTATAATGAGATCATTTCTATTTTGCCACTCAGTATGCAAATGTCAGTTTAAATGCTGGGAGGTTTAAAAAGTACTTCAGAAGAATCTAATTTTTCACTTTTTTTGAAGGAATAGTTCACCCAATAATTCATATTTCAAAAATGTACTCACCCTCAAGCCATCCAGGATGTAGGTGAGTTTGTTTTTTCATAGAAAATAAGCGTTACATCATTTGCTCGCCAATGGAGCGTGAATGGGTGCCGTCAGAATGAGAGTCCAAACAACTAATAAAAACATCACAGTAATCTACAAGTAATCCACACACTCCAGTCCATCAATTAATGCTCTGTGAAGCGAAAAGCTGTGTATTTGTAAGAAACAAATACATTGTTAAGGCATTTTAACTTTAAACTGTTGTTTCTGGTCAAAATACAAGTTTTGCTTTGTCCAGCGAAAAAGTCTATCCCCTGTCATCCTCTCACATCAAAATCTACCAACATGTTTGTTTAGAATTGTTTATGACTTTTTTCAATTGTAAACGGTTCTTGAGCTTTGCATAATTCTCTCTTGATTCAGACGAGACAGCTTTTTTATTTTTATTTTTTACTGGAGAATATATAGATAGACTTGTGTGGATTATTGTTGATTATTGTTTTTATCAGCTGTTTGGACTCTCATTCTGACGGCACAAAGTCAATTTAGACTTACAATGTTTTTGCGAAACACAGCCCTGCATGGTTATAGGCCAGTGCAGATAATCTCAAAACAGCCAAATCATCCAACATATCAATCTATCAGTCCGCTAGATACACTGAAATCCACAGAATACAGATTAATTGCAATTACAGGAGGGAACAGACATACTTACAGCTGAGGGACCTGAAATATGGCACTGTCCACAGCGTTAGTGCCCAAGTTTTCTTCACTGTCCAGAGTGTATGCATCCCCATCAATCATTCTGTGGTTTGTTTTATCTGTAGAAATACACACATACACAAACAGACGATTAGACATCAGCCATATTATGCAAGCGACTCATTATTTACAATATTAACTTAAACACAATTTATGCAAAAAGAATGGAAATGCACTTTGCACACAAAGTTACATATGGACAGAAAAGATAAGAGAACTAAAAAAAGAGACCACAGTGAAATGAAAGGCAATGCACTCTTTTTTAAAATAACGTTAAACATCGGTTTAAAAACATAACAGACTTTCATGCAAAGTTAATGGCTGCCTTGATTTTAGATTTAAACATTTTCGTGTTTTGCTTCTATGAAGGAGGCGTGGTTTGTGCTCATTTTATTCTTAAATTTAGAGAGAGGGAGGAGTCACATGTCTCTCACCTCCTCTAGCAGAGATCCCTCCATGATGGTCATCTGACTTGATACTTTGCTCTCATTGGCTGGAAGATGTTGTGTGATCAGTATGGGGCCAGTTCTGCCTTTAGATGGGGCTGTCTCTACACGGACTCATCCAGAGATTGCATAGTTGCCCTCACATGAAACCAGCTCATGATTTTTACACACCACAGTCATGCGGACATAGACATGGGTTTGATTTGGGGGTAAGGGCCTGGGATTTTACTTGCAAGGGGTAATGAGGTAACAGAGGGGTTCATCATGCTCTGGATGTCAGTGTGAAGTGTTTTACAAATTTAGCTTTTCTATGACGGCAGGAAAGGTTTGTGCTGTACTTTGAGGGATTTTTTTAATGCCTCCTCTGCTTCTACAAAATTTGCTGTATTACAAAGAAACACTAAACCTGAATGTCTGGCATGAAATTTTATCTGGGAAATAAAATCTTTAATTGCTGACCCAAGTTTTACTACAGCTGAAGGCAGGTTTGTGATATTCGATTTACGGATGGGAGTTTAACAGACATTGGTTGTTTAAACAATTTAGGGTTTTATAGGCTTTATTAAACATTAAGATCTTTATAATGAGATCATTTCTATTTTGCCACTCAGTATGCAAATGTCAGTTTAAATGCTGGGAGGTTTAAAAAGTACTTCAGAAGAATCTAATTTTTCACTTTTTTTGAAGGAATAGTTCACCCAATAATTCATATTTCAAAAATGTACTCACCCTCAAGCCATCCAGGATGTAGGTGAGTTTGTTTTTTCATAGAAAATAAGCGTTACATCATTTGCTCGCCAATGGAGCGTGAATGGGTGCCGTCAGAATGAGAGTCCAAACAACTAATAAAAACATCACAGTAATCTACAAGTAATCCACACACTCCAGTCCATCAATTAATGCTCTGTGAAGCGAAAAGCTGTGTATTTGTAAGAAACAAATACATTGTTAAGGCATTTTAACTTTAAACTGTTGTTTCTGGTCAAAATACAAGTTTTGCTTTGTCCAGCGAAAAAGTCTATCCCCTGTCATCCTCTCACATCAAAATCTACCAACATGTTTGTTTAGAATTGTTTATGACTTTTTTCAATTGTAAACGGTTCTTGAGCTTTGCATAATTCTCTCTTGATTCAGACGAGACAGCTTTTTTATTTTTATTTTTTACTGGAGAATATATAGATAGACTTGTGTGGATTATTGTTGATTATTGTTTTTATCAGCTGTTTGGACTCTCATTCTGACGGCACCCATTCACTGCAGAGGATCCATTGGTGAGCAAGTGATGTGATGTAATGAAATTTCTCAGAAATTTCTGTTCTGATGAAGAAACAAACTCATCTACATCTTAGATCACCTGAGGATGAGTAAATTTTCAGCAAATGTTCAATTTTGGGCCAACTATTGCTTGAATACTCAATAAGATATTTTCTATTTTGTGGATTATTAAATATTAAGTTAAATGTTTTCATTTAGTGGTTTTAGGTGTAGGCTTTAATTTATCAACATAAAATGATGAAAACAAAAACTAAACTAAATGAAAAATGTGTCAGAAAGGTGAGGACGAGAGGGAATGGAAAAGAAATAGCGGAAGAGTGTGAGAACGAGAGGACAGACAGAAAGGAAGAAAGAAAGACAGAGAACAGATAGGCTGTGAGCTCATGTGAAGTAGTAAGGGTTACTTGGCTGGAATTGGGCCTGTTGCACCGCAGCCTCAGCTGCAGCGATGGCGTTCCCAGCTTCTTCCAGGTGGGCTTGAGTGACGCTGCCTTTGCTCTGGCTACGTGAGGGGCCGTGGGAGCGCAAGTGACCCTCAGAGGAAGATTTGGAGCTGCCAGGACTACTGTGGGATTTTTCTATTGTAGGGACCAGTGTGTCTGTGAACATAGAGTACATGCCCTCTATTAATCCAGAACTGATCCCAAATGTTAAAGGGGTCATATGATGCGATTTCAATTTTTCCTTTCTCTTTGGAGTGTTACAAGCTCTTGGTGCATAAAGAAGATCTGTAAAGTTGCAAAGACTAAAGTCTCAAATCCAAAGAGATATTCTTTATAAAAGTTAAGAGTCAACCACGCCTACCTAAAACGGCACATGTCTACGTCACGATGTGGGAAGATTTGCATAACGCCACCCAAATGTTCACGCAAAGAAAGAAGGCGTAACTTTTATTCTCGCTGTAGTATTGTTGCTGCCGCCATGCCGTGAAGACGCTGTGTGTTTCGTTGTGAAAGCGAAACTACTTTGTTTGGCCTTCCAAAAGAGGACGATATCCGCTTCATCATGCCTAGAGCTGATCCGTGCTGGTCGCTGAGGAAATACTTCAACTT